TTTTTTTTTGAACATTGGTAAAGTTGTATTCTTCAGCATTAAGGACATGCTGGCCACCTTCAAAATTTACAGCCCTAAGCGAAATTACAAGCTCCCTATTAATTCTATAATTTGATCTACATCTTCTATGCAAAGTTGTTTACACCAAAAAAGTAAAGATACCAAACAATTCCATTTTACTTTGTGAATGGAATTAGATCTATCTTCAAAACATCTCCCATTTCTTTCCTTCCACACTGACCACCATATGCATGATGGTATTAGCTTCCACCACTTCTTTTGAGTCTTGCTACCCCCTCTTCTGATCCAACACTTAAAAAGATCAGAGGTGTGTTCTGGCATAGACCAGCTACAGCATGTGATGTTGAGAAACAGCTCCCAGATCTGTGCAGTGAATTTGCAATGTAAAAATAGGTGATTGTTTGTTTCCCCAGTCAAATTGCACAGGAAACACCTAGGGACTAGTTGCTTTCCTTTCTTCTGCAGCACTTCTTGAGTTAAGCAGGCTCTTTTGGTGACTAACCAAGTGAAGCATTTCACTTTGGTGGGGGTCAGTCCTCTCCAAATACTCTTCCAGTGATGATGGTAGCCTCTAACCCCAACTTGTATGCCTTTCTTGTAAGCACTGTTTACTGTGAATTTGCCATCCTTGTTGTGCTTCCAAATAACTCTATCTGGTGCATTTGTTACTAGATTGATTCCCCCCAATTTTCCCAGGAAAGATGCCACTCTATCTACTTCCCAATCATTCAATAGCCTTCTGAAAGATAGGTCCCAGCCTTGAGTTGTCCAGCATTCTCTAAATACTAATCACTTTTTGCCAAGGGCCTACTAATTCTTTTTCCCATATCAACATCTTTATTTTCGACAACCAGAGCTATGTGATCCATTTGTGTGTATATGCATTTTTCTTGATCTAGTATTGCTTAAGCCTTAAGGTACTCAGAATCAATTCTCACATGTTATTTAATGATGTGGTTTCTTTTGAACTCTTCATCATGCCAATGGCTTACATCTTTCATTTTGCTTAACAGATACCAGAATATTGATTTCCGAGTGCACCATGAATTACGAAGCTACTGTGAGAGCCGTTTGTCGTCTGGGTACTGAATCCATTCACAACTCATATATACGTGTTCTTTAAAATTTAAACTCTCTGAGCTCTCTGTTCTCTCGTAGGTAGGAATGCTGTTATCTTTATCTCAAATTGAATCTTATCCATCTTTAAGCTTACATTATTTTAAATAGAAAGAATCTTGCTTGTGTTGTGCGAAGTGCACTTTTGGATTTTTCAGAAGTACCTCAAGATATGTTCTCTGGTTTTAGATGCGAAAGGGATTACATGTTATTTGAGTTGTGTTCTTCTAACTAAACTGGAATAAATATTGGCGAGCTATTAAGTTCAATAAATTGATAAAATTTAAAACAATTCTTTAGCTTATTCAGCTAAAGCTAACATGAAAAAAGCAATCATGTCTCTGGCCTTACGGTCTATTTAGATTGCAATCATTTCCTATCGCTCGTGATCTATGAATCCCTACCAGGAGAGAGCCTTATGTTTAGAGATTGTTCTGTAAAACAACCTCTGCTTTGGTTATGCAGTTATGGCCGCATAGAGTTTTAGAGAGTGTCTGAATTACATTCAAATGAAAACGATTATTAATTTCACAACTTAACACCATTTAATTTGATAACCATGGCGTCTGGGCCAACTTGCGTTAATTTCACAGGGTTCCTACTCACTCACTAACACACAAGTACTGGGTAACTCTGTCTGCTCAGGCTTGGACAGATGGGAAGAAAACACTTAGTCCTCTGGGATTTGAACTTGAAACTTCATGGTTCTCAACCCACACCATTGTCTACTTGGCCACACCCTTGGAGCAACAAGTTTAACACCTCTTCTATGTGTATTGATAGAATACAAGAGACAGAATGAATAAATGCAGTTGCTAACTTCTTTTCTGCAGTTGCTTGTTCTCATATGCTTTGCTTTTCTATTCATGTCGTTTAACTGGGAAACAATTAAATTAAGTCTGGTATCCAACTCAACTAGCCAATATGATCTTACATAAATCTGATTTGATTTGGTCTTAGTGGATAATGATAGCTAAATAATAGACCATTTTTTATGCCGTATTTTCTTTTTTTCTACAGATTGCAACATAGATGGGATGATATATGTGCCTTCCGTGTTTTTCCGTGTAAATGTCAGCTAGCATTGCAGCTTTGTGAACTCAAGGATGACTACATTCAACAAGAAATCAGAAAACCGTCAAAGGAAAAAACTTGCAATGTATGTTATCATTTAGTAAAAAATTGCTTCTTAATGAGAATCCTATATATTTTCTCAGGTTTATGAAATGTAAGTTTGCTACTGTATGCACTATATGTTGATGCATGGATGGTTTGTGGGGCTCATGATGCCCCTGCTTTCTGCAAATCAGAAACAACATTAGCATTTAGTTGTTCAGTATGATTGGAGTTTATGATGCCCATGTAGCAAATTTCCTGGTTGCCTTTCCTTGCCAAAGTTAAAAAGGACTTGTGTGATTCACTGTGTAAACTACTGATAGAGTGAGTCGAGAAATGAAAATGTGTGAAACTATCTTTGAGATATTAATATATTTGTGTGTGCTGCACTCATGCACATATTGTCAAAAGTCATGTTTCTTTTCGAAAGATCTCTTATTCTGAAAGATAATTAAATCAATTGACTTGAAAATCTTGAGGATTAGAAGTCAATCTGGTGTAGAAGAGAAGCAAACAGATTTGTCCACTAGAGACTGATTGTTTTACTTCCTTTTTTAGCTGTGCTAAGGTTCATGTTACCTCTTGATATTTCCCTATTCTTTAACCTTTTTTTTCTTTTTGTCTTTTGGTTCTCAAATTGGATGTATTACTATGAATAATGAACTTCTTTAATTATATCTAACATGCTCTGCCTTGTTCCTTATGTGCATGAGACAATTGATTGTTTGCTTCCTGGGGATTGGGTGTGTGTGTGTGTGTTGTACTCCGATATGCTTGAATGCTTCCATGTTTGTGTATTCTGACAAATACTGAATAAATCTCCAGTGATACTTTTCCTCTGATTATTTAATTTGCAGAGTGTAACAGGATGGTTCTCCTTTCATACTGTTGATTGCTTGAGACGTTGTATTGATGTGAGATTTATGTCAGTATGCCCTCATCCCCGTGCTGAGTCTTTACTAAATTCTATTTCCACCCGCTTCGAAAAGTCAAAGAGGACTCATACTTATTTGAAAGTTGCAAGACCGGAAGAGCAAGAAAAAGTCAATAAAGGTTTAAAGCAGTCGGTGTTATTTGTGGTCTATTTTATGAATTTTAAGTGTTGACATAATTATCTATCAGGAAACTTAATTGTTAATGTAATTAACTTTCGTATTTTTGGAAACTTCTGAATTGTAAATATTAAAGCTAAAATTATTCCTACAACTGATTTGCTCTCTGGAGTGTTTCAAACTTCTGGATTTTATTTTAATCTTACTATTGATATATTTTATCTTCCAACTAGTAGTCATTTTAGTAATATCAGTGCCTTCACTCAAGTATTTTCTCTTAATAAGTTCCTTGAAATGTCAGATGCGGAAAACAATGAAGTCGATGAACAAGCAGAAAACCATGACGTTGATGAACCTGATGATTTAGAAGATTATGAAGATGAGTTTGATGATGATAATGTTGAAGAGGAGATGGATGCATATGTATCTCTTGACCTCGTAAGTTCATATTTATATATGGGATGCATTCACAAGTAATTTGTATTAAGCATTCCTCATCATGAAGTCACCTGATGCATCGTCTTCTTAGGCTGTCCAGGAAGGGGATGTCTCTCTACATGATGATCCACGTATCCTTGGAATAAGACCATATTTATTATATCATTCTTCTCTTATTTGCACATGCTGATGGATGGGATTAGTTGAATGATCAGTAAACCTGCAAGAGAATTGGCATACTCCTTTTGTCTTTTCCTTCAAGGTCTGATTTTATGGTTTAGAGTCATACTACTTTTGCCTTTTCCTTTCTAGGGTCTTCTAGTGATCAACTTCTGGTTTATCAACCTTTAGCATTGTGTGCCAAGGATTTTGTTGGCAATTTTAGTTTCCTATATGCTACACAGATACAAACCACGATAATGTTTCAAGAGATTACTTGCAAGAGCTCTTTGGCAATTTTCCATCGAGTACAGCTGGGACGGATGAAGTGCAAGATGATCAGAGTCTTGGAGAATATCAGATATATGACCAATACAACGATGACTCTTATTCCGAAGATGAAGACTACTAAGACATCATGTTAGTGTTCTTTTTAATCTTCTGCAAAATCATACTTTCCTACATCTGGCAGTTTTCCATCACTTTCATACCATAATCTTTTCAGTGCTAAATCATTGTGGGTGTATTACATCTTAAATCATAAACAAATATTTTTCTGGTGCAACTATTGAGTATTCTTTTGATCTGAATAGTTATACTTTTCTTTATTTTTCCCTCATACTAATCTCAGTGAACAGTGTATTTGGTATGGCTACTAACTAACTCCCTCATCTTGTTTCGAATCTTTTTTAGGGGTAATTGCAGGCTAATTAGTGATGGAGTGAAGAACTGCTGCTGCAGAAAAGGGTGGGAATGAAGTATTTGCCTGAGCTCAAGTTTACAGGGAAAAAGCTTAGTGTTGCCTTTTTTTTTGGTTTAGTTTTATTTTAAGTTTTAATTTTTATGTTATGTTTCCGTCTTTTAGCTGGCTAAATGCTGAAGACATGAAGAAATACATAAATTACCCCCTAAACTTGTTCTGGAAAATCACTTTGCCCATTTTAACTTTACGAGCATCCTATTACCCCTTATTCTTGTTTGAACTTATATTAAGACAACCCCGCGACCCTAAGCTGCCATGTGGGGAAGGCAGTGAACTCACCTCCAGTTAGGAGCGTGAAGTCTGCATAGAACTAACAGAACGAATATTTTCAAGAGCTAACTTGTGCCAAGTGTTGTTTATAGTACTATCAATAGTTTGGAGACGAAAGTAATAATTTTTGTCAAATTTGAAGGTATTTTCACATTGTCTCTTTATTTAATCTTCTCTTAACTTTGGATGCACGTACCATCATAATAAGACAACTTTGTTATTTGATATATTATTCTGCACCCTGTCAAAACCAACAAGATTGGCTAAAGTTTACATTTAATTGCCTATAATACAAAAAACAAACCATCAATCCATGTAATTACAGTTCTTAGCATATTCTTAATAAGTTCAAAAAAAAAAAATGTGTACACATAAGGATGGAAAGAGATAGGCATAATAGGGGTTGAGAATCATGAGGTCGAGGTTGTGGAAAAGTTAAATTTTTTTTACAAGAGCATTCTAAAAAAAAGTGTCGATATTTTGAAATTCGAAGATAGTAATTAACAAGAGTCAGGAATTTGAACTAAAGGATTCTAACGTCAGAAATTTAAACTAAAGAACTATAAAAATTGTCAGAAATTTAAACTGAAGAACTATAAAAATTGCAAGTATGTGATACCTAAGATTCGAAGATCGTGGCAAAATCAGAAATTTAAACCAGAATTATATCCTAAACATGAAAATCTACACATTATGCATTAAGTACATGAATTCAAACTCAAACACAAGTGAAACATACAAAAAATATAGCTAAAAGACTAATTTTCACACCTTAGTGTATAATAAACATTATTTTCAGCATCTTTTGTTAATACCAATTCTTTTCTCCTTTTTTTTCAACTAATGATCTCTTTCCCTTCTCATATATATATATATATATATTCCACTTATGATCCCTTCGTTAGAAGCAAAGAAAAACAAGTGAAAACTTTGTAAATTTCTAAGTAAATAACCAAAAATACAATTTTCTTGTTCTAGGCAACATACATAAATGGGGAAGAAAGTCATAATGAATAATTCTCAATATCAAAAGAAGAAGAAATGTGACTTCAACAAATTGATAAAATTGTTGAAACCAAAAGTATATATTACTGACTCTTGTAATTTCAAGAATCTTGTTCAACAACTAACTGGAAATAATAATGGTTCAATTATTTCTTCATCATCTACACCACCTCAAGATCAAGTAAGCCAAGAATTGGATTTTTGTGAAGAATATAAGAGAATAGAATCATGGTTATTATTGGAGTCTGATAATTATTATAACTATGTAGAGTATCATCAACAACAATTAATGTCTCTATATGATTTTGATTATGATTTATGTAATCTTTTCTGATCTATATAAACATTTCAAGTGCATATATATAAATAGTCTGATCTTTCAGCAATATAATTACCGCTAAATATGTATTTTTCTGACATAGTCGAGTCCATCGGTTTTCGACCTGTTTTTTGTAGTGTGATTACTTGTAATTTTTGGTAAGTAGTAAATGTTACTCAAAAGGATAAAATTGCAAAGTGTCACATTTACAAATATTACATGTTCTTTGTTTGTATCATATGCTATACAAATGTACATTATGTAGTGAGAATAGGTGGGAGATACTGAGATTTGTTGCCAAGAATAGCAGCTTTTGTGTCTGGGAAGAACTTGAATCCAGGAAGTGTTGTAATCTGTCCTGTGTTCGAAATATCGATAGGGTAGCGAAGAAGGTGGCCTGGAAGATCTAGATCAAATGTATCACTTGAATAAAGTTTCCAGCTTTCTTCAGCCATGCCATTTACTTTCCTAACACATTCTAGACTCGAGGGATCCGCGAAAGAGTCATCTGCATAGTTTAGATGTTCACACCATAAGGACATTCGAAAACCGTAGATTTTTCCTCTAGGTGGTTGATTAGATGCAAGATGATATGGTTGGTAGCCACCCATAGCAATCTCAGAATCTCTTGCACCATCCATTGACCTTTGATTGATGTTAGCAGATCCAATTATAATGTATTCATCATCAACTTCAAGAAAGAACAAAAGAAGCAAACATTAGTTTGATCAAAATGATCAATAGAGGTAAAATTGGTACTCCGTCCGTTTCAATTTGTTTGTCTGGTTTCTGACTTGAGACGGAGTTTAAAAAAGTAAAAAAGACTTTTGAATCTTGTGGTCTTAAGCTAAAGATGTGTAGAATGTATCACTTAAACATGTTGTGGAAAGTTAGAATTGAAGAGTTGTTCAGAAAAGGAAAGAGATATTCTTTCTGAAACAGATTAAAAAGGAAAGTAAGACAAATTGAAATTGTTCACTCACCGATCATCAGTTTTGAATGAACGTAGATCATAAAGCGTCTGAATTCTTGAGCTCTTGCATAATTAGTATCTGGAACTGGTTTCTGAGGAGGTTTGTATTCTCCAAGCTTTTCGACTTCACGGTTTCCAAGACAGAAGAATGTCAAGTACTCTCTAGGATCAGCAGTAGTATTTCCCTTGGCCTTAAGGGCATTGCATATGTCTGTGTACATCATTTCCATTGTCCTTTTTTGCCAATCTAGAATTGCCTGAACAGAATCACTTTCCGGTATACCTTCTGGCCACATCGGTAGAACAATATAGACCGTAAATCTCTCCCCTGCTTGAATCTTGCTCACAATCTTAAGTGAGATCTCCTTTGGGATAAGATGCAAAGCTCCGATATCCTCGAGCTTGATATCATTTGCAGGCTTCCAACCATAGCAACTTCCAATAAAGTATTGGTTTTCAATGTAAATGAAGTTCTTAGCTCGACGAATGGCACTAATGTATGCATCATGGATACTTTGATCAATGACGTTGTTTTTCCCAGTAACAAGGCCTACCTCAGAAGCTTCTTCGGGGTTTACAGGGAAGTCAGTAACAGCACCACCATCAATAGACCGAAATATTTGAACATTCCAGGTTTCTCTATCTCTTGATGCTGTAACTTCCGTTGGACGAATAATAAACTTATCAAGCTCATTCATTGAGTAGATAAATCTATTTCCAATCTGCTTCCTCCACCTTTGCTCAAAATTATACAAGACATCCCACGCAACGGGCCCTTCTAGCCTACAATGAATGTCATGCCAAGGCTCTCTTGGACCACCTTTCGCGATTGAAGAACCTGGAAAGGTAGGCTGATAGAAATCTTGCTTATGTACTGTGTCCAATGTCCTGAATAATGAGTGATCTCGAGTATCATATCGTCCATCACAAAGATCAATACCACCAAGAAAACTCACTATCATCCTTTTATGTGACATCCCTCCTGGAATTTCAGTGTCTACAACAATCGTCTTTTGATGATGAGTAAACATTGTACCAACTTGAAACCCCTGAATCACTGTCTTTCCACTATCAGCATTACGCGGACATAAACAACAGTGGACATCTGTGTTCTTAAAATAATCCGCGGTTTCTTGATCATGAGTTGACATTAGTCCATCTCTTTTTAGTACCTCATCTGAAGTTATATCATCCCAAACTAACAAAAGAACATTAACTCCTTCACTTGCTTTCTTTTTCAGGAGCTCCCCGAGAGTAAGTTCTCCACCTACCTTTGGCCTTTTTGGATTTCTTATCAAGGTAATTTTCGTATACACAGACCATCCGGCTATATAAATCATATGCTTTGCATTGTTGATTGCATCAAAAATATCTTCCCAACATCTCTGAGGTTCAAAAAGTCCTTGTGACTTGAGATAATTTGTGATATCATCGTCTGAAATGTCTGCATCGGGGTAAAGTGTAACTTGACACCCCTGTCTCTCCTTGAAAAACGTATACGGGACTCCTCCAAATGCAGGGGAGGTAATGCCTCTAGACCAATTACTGTCTTGCTTTACGCTATAGAACTGCAACCTTACATGGATTTTTGAATGACCACTTATCGGATGCCTCTCTTCATCTACTATAGGTACCCATCTATCGACTATATATCGATTCAAGACTTCCTCAACAGGGAGATAAGCTCTTCCAATTAGTGTTGCACTAACAGGATTCTCATCTTTTACTGTAAAAATGATGTTAGAAACCTCATGAGCACAGTAGAATCGAAATGTGTCATTCCAATGAGGGTTGGAAGGCTCATTTTCCGCGATTCTAGTTCTTCCAACTCTAGCCTTATCTAAATCTATGGTTGCATAAAGTTTTGTAGCAGAAATCTGCAAAATTTGTAACACATTGTGAAAAAAAGTTTAAAATGGATAACGGATAGAACTTTCTCTGTCCCAATCTATGTGACACAGTTTGATTTGACACAAAGTTTAAGACAGAAATGAAGAGTTGTACTTCTTGACAGTTTATGCGACTATAAATTATTTCATTAAGGGTAAAATGGTAATTTTGAAGTTAAACTATTTCCAATTATAGAGAAGTGACATTTTTTTAAGACAGACTATAAAGGAAAGTATGTCACATAAATTGGGACAAATACAACAACACACTAATTATATTAAAGACGGTACCTTTGGCGCGCAGAAGAACAATTTCTTGACATTGTTCAAAACTCTTTTGGTTAGTTTCTGGGGAGATGTCTATAAGTAAAGATATGGAGATTAGAAAAATGCTTGAGGCTAAAATGGATCAAATATTAATAAGCACATACATATGTATTATCACCATTATATTGAGAATTCATTTGTACTAATATAATGTCATCAACCTTAATCAACACTTGTTAGGCATCACACTTCATTGATTTTAGATTTTAGTAATTTCTATAACTGATTGAACTAAAAATAGCTGACAGATGTATAGTATTTGTATAACATGTGTATGATCGTGTATAATGAGATATAATTTATTTATATCAACTAGAAAAAGTAGACAGTAAATTTGTCCAGATATTTCCATTAGCTATATGTTACTTCTTCTCCATGGGAAAATAAAGAAACAAGATTTTGTGTCACATGGCTAAATTTT